CCTCTCTTTAAGCTATCAATCTTTATTACCATGGCAGAAAGTAGTCATTTGCCTTTTAATTTCATTTTTTTAAGTGATTGTTATTACGAAATTCCCTACCTTTGAAGTTTCTTTTCTTTGTTAGATTGTGTCTGTAAATGTGTTTTTTCAGCTCCTTCCAAAATTTTAGTCTCTGATATATCTTTTGGAACCCCTTATGAAAATTGTAAATTTATGTCCAATGGAATTGGCAGGTGTTATTCATAAAGCCACATTTAAAACATTACAACTGGATTCATGGTCTACAATCACACTATCTGAGTCATCAATTCGGAGTTGATGTACATCTACATGTAGAAGACAAAAAAAAATACTCACCGTTAGCTCAGTGCAAAGGTTTTAAAGATTCCATAGGTGTGACAGCCAAGTTTTATTCAAACTTTAAGAAGAGGAAAATGCTACATATGGCTTGTGAAAAGGTTGGCGTCTAATGATCATTCATTCCATGTTCAATCAAATCCTTTTTTTTCTATCTCATAAAGAATATTGAATATAAATTTGTGGGTAAAGTAGTAAAACTCACCAGCCCTGGTTGAGTTCCTGGCCAACTGGGTAAGTTACCTTCTAGTTTCCTCTTAAAAAAAGTAAAAATTTGTTTAGGCTAATTTTGCACAAATTGTTACAAATATCTTAACAACACCCCAGGCAAAATAATGTAACTTAAGAATGCTAAATTTGTGTTGATTAAAAATCAAATTGTCATACAAAAATCCCTCTCTAAATACAAAATAACATTCACTGCAAAAAGTAGTTTCCTATTTTCAGTTAAAAACTCTTATTTTTAAGAGTAAAACTCTTAAATGGCTGTCCGTGGGCTAAGAGTCATTCTCTCTTAAGTTGAGGATGAAAACCCTTTGTCAAGAAGAGTAAAACGATATTACTAGGGTTTCTGGCCTTGACAAAGGGTTCATGCTTAATTAAGGCTGTTAATTAACTTGGTCAAGTATTGTTCACCAAATTTAAGAGATCTAAAGATATTTGATCAAGTGTCATTTACTCAAATTTAAGAGAAGAATTTCTTGGTTAAGTAGGCTGTAAACCTAAATGCAGGAAATAGCCCAGCCTAGATTAAGTGTCACATCCATACAATGATGTGACAATAAGCCTTTGTTAATTGATATATCTCCTAGTTGAAGGGGATACCCCCT